ATATCTGAAAATTTCAAAGGTTAATATGCATGTCTTTCCTCAATGATACATTTTTTATCCGGGGAATTTTGGCAACTCGAATGTTCATACGGCGTTTTTCCTTAGCACGGCAGTATAGGATACGCAGAGGTACGGCATTTTTCACCGATAGAACGTTTTCCTCCTTAAAGTGTTGTATCGATTTTCGTGCTTTTGCAGGAACTGAACTGAGTTACCACCGGTAGACGTGGAAAATCTCTGGGCCTCGGTCAGCAATAATTGGATCGCACTTAGCAAAGAGGAACCAGCGCGGATACAGTGTTTCCAAAATCGGGCAACTTCTTATTTTCTTTCAAAAATACCTATAATCTATGCACAGTATTAAAATTTGCACGGTTATTTTCCTTCACTGGAAAAAAAAACACATTGGATCTAGTGTCCAGACTCTTGAAAACATTGACAAGAAAAAATACTCTTGATTCAATCGGATTTTTGCTTGAATCAAAACGAAATCCGCTTAAATTAAGAGGCTTGGTTCTTGATTTAAGCTAGATTCTCATTGAATCAAGAGTACTTTTTCTCGTCGATGTTTTTAAGAGTCTGGACTGTAGATCCAACTTGTTTTTCTTCCAGTGTTTGAAATTAACTTTTTTTTGGTGGGAAGCATAAAATTTTTGCTATTCTAAGAGATTTTGTGGATAATTATGAGGGAGCATCATTTTTACAACACTGGAATCGCGCTGGTCCCATTTTGCTGAATGCGATCCAATTAAGGGTTGGTCCATTGGAGGGATCTGCTGAGTGACCGCGCGTCAAGTCACGAAAAGTTAGAGCTGCAAAAAAAACTTTCAACATTCCTCGTTTGGTCTTCTTTCGATTATTTCGGATCATTTTAAATGCGTTTTGAGATACCCCCCCCCTCTCTGAGCCACCCCCTTCATCTGCAGGTTCAACGAGAAAATTTAACATTTGTAATGCATTCCTGAGTTGCAGTCACTCAAAAACGATTTACGCGAACTCAAGGTTGCGGCTCATGAAGCTCATGTCCAATGACTCAGAGTCCAAAGTTTCTCAATTCAACGCCACTTTGTCAAATCGATTCGCTGCAATTTTATTTTTAGACATGGTTTCTCCGAGTTTTTTACGCACTTCTCCCAAGAGCACAAAGCCGAGTCCAAGTTGTAGCTGTGAAGGATGTATTTCAAATTTTAATTTTAAATTGAAACAGCCGCAACGCAATTAAAGCTCTCGTCTAAGTTTGCGTAATGTCTGGTTAAATTTTCACGCCAGATACATTACAAAAGACATTTCGAGGAAAAGCGAAGTGAAATGGTGCCTTCACAAGTGAAAACCGTATTTAAATAAGCTGTTTTCCTTTGCATTGAAAATAACTCGACTGATCTCACAGAAATTTGAAAAATGCCGTCTGCATGTAGTCGATGGATTAGAATACCTATCGAAAGAACCCGTTATCAAAGGCAGGCACAGTCAGCAGTGGCGTGCGGCGTGAAGGATCGATTATCGATATTTCTCCATTTGAAGCTATAGTAGAGAATCGATTGTCAAGGTTTCGTTGCGGAAACCTTGATTATCGATCTTTTTCCATAGATTTAAATGGCAGATCAATCGATGTTTTGCAAAACACGACACGCCACTGACAGTCGGTCATCAGGATCGAGGTTACATTTTATCCAGCTTCACACTAGAAAATTTCCAGTCCTGATAAGTTTTATCAATGATAAACAATAAAATGTTGGAATACCTCAGCATTTTTACAAGTTTATGAGGCTTTCCATATAATATTAGATGGGCATTATTAAGATACACGAAAAGGGAAAGTCGACAGTATTCCAATTGTTCATTTTCGTTGGAAAAAGAATTAGGGGTTTGCAGGACAAGGCGCATAAGTTCAGTTTTTGAAAAAATCGAGATATTATTGATCTCTAGTAAAACTAGTTTCAATGCATAATCTGCGAAAAATTCGCTCTCAGATCCCAATTTTTAAGCATCAAAATGTTAGTTTGCACTTTCTTTCCACCATAAGGATCCATGTCATTTCGAAACTTTAAACATGTATTTCTCGAAATAGCAAAAACTGCACTTATGCGCCTTGTCCTCCAAGCTCGAAAATTGAAGTTCGAATCCTGATTTCCTGAACAAGTAAGATTATATGGATTGCATTCTGCAAAAAGCAACCACTATCATTGCAATGTTGGTAAGATTGTGCAACTTTTTTTGTCTTGGAGAAAAACCCCGATTATCCATTAATAGTTTCTATTTTATTCGCTAAAAACTGTAAATTTAAGGCAAAAATTACCATCTAAATTTCATAGTTTTTCACGATTTCCGCAATCTTATTGCAAAAGATGAAGTTGCACAATCTTAGCATCATTCAACGCTATTGGTTCCTTTTTGGAAACTGCAATCCATATGTCCTCTTTGGTCGATGAATCGACTGATTTCAATATTGAAATAAAATACCACTTACTCACGGGGTGATTTTTGAAGGAATGTGTGTTTTTTCTTTTTTAGAGTGCAATTTCGGTGAGAATTTGTGCCCATGGAAGCTACAATTATCACCCTGCTTAGTATAGTACTTGATAAGTGGGCTGTCGGATTCGGCGATAAAAGTATTATAAAAGTGATTCGGCATATTAGGCAGAACCTTCCAAAATACGAGTTGGTTGGCGTACGCGCGATTCTGAGCCATGAACGGTGCTTACACTTTATTCAAACATTTTTAATCGCCATGTCCTAACAACAAGTCAACATGTTTTAATCATCTTATACTTTACATAGAGGACTCCATAAATATCGCGGAAAAAGAACGAGCCCTTGTGGACACACACACACATTGCAAAAACAGTACACAAATACATGGACGCTATACGCCTCGGGGCTCATCTGAAAAGGGACTTGCCCCTTCTAACAAGTATTAGAGTTCAAATGAAGAGGCCGACGGCAAGGTCGCTGGCACGAGAAACCACATTCGTCACTTACGTTGAACATCTGTCTCAGATAAAATCGAGTCTGAATGCACGCGTTAGTACATTATTAAGTACCGCCATCGAAGCTACGAACCGAAGATAATTAGATCGATAGCTCTGATGATCCGGAAAAATTAAATAAACAGACAGCAAGTGAAAAGGAGCCAAGTTTTATTTCTTGGGAAATTAAGAATCTTTCCAGAGACGAATTAATAAAATTTTCTGTGATGATCGATAATATAAATAGTTGAAAAAAGTTCGTAAGCCTTTGTATATTCATGCCATTTAAAGTAACCTGATCAGAGAGCAAATATTTTACCGTTGTACTTTTTAATGAAGTCGGGAAAAATAATTCCTATAAAATTGGACTTTGAAGAGAATTTCTGACCAAAACCTAAACATTTTTTTCCGTCATGGAAACACTTCAAGAGAAGTCTTATTACGGGCTATGCACTTGAGCATCTCACTTGTGCACCAGGAGATCCAAGCACGGAGGCCGTTAGTTTGAGCTTTAGGAGTCACTGCTCTAGCCACTGAGCCCGACCTTGCGTTACACTCTGCGATACGTCAATTTGTCCCCTTATTGCGTGTCATTCATTCTTTCTTTCGAGTTCGCCTTTAATAATTCAGACGGCAATATGGGCGACTTAGGAGTACGAATAGTTGCACGGGATAGGTTTGCCGCTCCCTCACAGTCCCGGCAAGGAAGCGGCAAACCTAACCCATGCAACTATTCGTGCTCCTAAGTCGCCCATGTTGCCGTCATAATTATTGAAGGCGCACTCGACGGAATGAGAGACACGCAATAAGGGGGATAAATTAACGTAACGCAGAGTGTAACGCAAGGTCGGGCTCAGTGGCTGGAGCAGTGATACCTAAAGCTCGAACTAACGGCCCCCGTGCTCGGGTTTCCTGGTGCAAGAAATAAAATATAATGCGATTTCAAAACTTCGAGACGTCGATTTCTTGGCTTTTTTGAGGGTATTTTTTTACAAAAATAATTGCATCGGTTTTTTGCGGTTGCTTTAAAATAGGAATCGATTTTTTAAACCAGAGGATAGTAAATTCGAACCTTTTTTTGTCAACTTTTGCTCCTATATTGAAAATGATAGCGGCAATGACGGTATATGTCTGCAGGCGCTTTTTCATTCTTCCGATCCAAAAACTTGAAAAATCGATTTTTTTCATGATCGAATTTTCAATCAAAATCGGACCAATTTTTTCTTAAAAATCACCATTCCTGCATTTCTTTCACTACAACTCAAACTTGAAGCGATCGATTTTTTACCATAGATTTTTCAATCAAAATCGGATCAATTTTTTCTTAAAAATCGCCATCCCTGCATACCTCCCATCACAACTCAAACTTGAAGAGATCGATTTTTTTCACCGTCGATTTTTTAATCAAAATCAAATGGATTTTTTCTCGAAAATCGCCATCCCTGCATATCTCCCACAACAACTCAAACTTGAAGAGATCGATTTTTAATCAAAATCAGATCGATTTTTTTTTGAAAATCGCCATCCCTGCATATGTCCCACCGCAACTCAAACTTGAAGAGATCGATTTTTTTCACCGTCGATTTTTTAATCAAAATCAAATGGATTTTTTCTCGAAAATCGGCATCCCTGCATATCTCCCACCACAACTCAAACTTGAAAAGATCGATATTTTCACCATCGATTTTTTCTAAAAAAAAATCGGCATCCCTGCAAGTCTCCCACCATTTACGATTGTCCCGAGCCGCGATTTTCGGAAGACGGTCGGCCTCGGTTCTGAAAATTGAGAACCCCTGCAATCCTGGATCCGTCGCGGCTGATGGCGCTCGTAAATCATGCGAGCGGACAATTGCATCTCGGGCCATTGTTTCAGCGCTCGGATCCACAACCACATCCACTCCTTCTCTAAAAAACCAACCGCGGGGCAGCGTCCGATGGATGGACCCCAGCCGAGTCTCGAGACCAGACC